CCACTAGAGCTAGAAACAGAAACAAACGAAAGCGACAAGCCTCAGACACATGCAGCATGTTCGCGATGGTACCTTTATACGGCTTTGAGTTGTTCGGTGCTCGCGAAGTTAGCACGAGTGTTTACAAGCCTGCAAATGGTACCATCGTGTGCATGATACTCGTGTTTGAGCATAGCCTTCTTTATTCTACAAAGCCTGTCAAATCGCGAAATACTCTGGTTTAAGGCTGTCGTTTGTTTCTGTTTGTCGCTTTAGTGGGGCTCGGGCATAATAGCCCAACTTAAATTATATCTGAAGATCAGCCCATGCTCTCTGCTTTGCCAACCCTGCGTATGACTATGATAAACACTGACGGTGCATATATTAGGATCAGATCACGTGGCTGATAGTTCTAATTGTGAGTTGAGAAGGGGAAAGCTGTTTCATTTCTTTCTTTCGACTGTCTGCCATTTCGCGGAGGGGCAAACTAATGGATGCTTTTGCAAGTTATCAACGTCAAGGATTACAACTTAGCGGTATTTATTGAACTTAAGGTAAAAAAAAAAAAAGATGCTGCACGACCCATTTTACATGTATGCACACCATTGAGGCTCCCAAACATGTTTTCGTTATTGCTGAACTGCCTCAGAAAGTTGTCCCGAGAATAGAAGTGTTAAAGGGTCTAAATGTGACGTATTAGTCGGACGTTACATGGAACTATTAGTGTGTACGGGAGGGACACCTGAAAAGAAAGATCCTAGTGGCCTCACGGGGATAGCCGAACGTTGGCAGCCGCTCTAAGTCTCACAGGAGTGTCGCTCTCAAGTTGTCCAAGTTTCGACCGCCCTGTATTTTGTTTAACCTTCACAGTTTGGTGCAAAGTTAAAGCAAGGAAGAATTACTGTTAACAAGTGACACAAATATAATTGTCGAGTGAACACCACTCAATACGGAGCAGGAAATCCCTGAGGAATAAAAAGTATCTTGAAGAGCCTAAAAAAAAGGGAGTGGGGAGGGGGGTAGTTTTAAAGCATACTGTGTCGTAAAGATTCCTCTGCCCCACATTTTCGGCGCAGACTAGAAAGCGTGGCCTGGAAACGATAGTGACAGATGGGTAGTTGGTACAACTTTTATTTGTAAAAACACTCTTGCCAGAAAGCACATTTTCGTCGTGCCAGATACTCGCGCCGTGCCTAACGACGATGTACCAACAAGAAAAATGTGTGCCTCTCAAATACATAGCTTGCACTGAGCGCGAAACTTTTGCAGCGTGCATTTTGCCAAACCGGATTTGATTTTCTCAGCAAGAACAACTCGCAATGACAACCAGTATCTAGTGCGATTACGTCACGTGCAAACCATGTTAAATACTTCAGCTTTCTGGTGAAGTGCGACGTTCTCAACACCAGCAGTGGACGTCCAATGTGTAAAGTTGTGTAGTATTTATAGTAGTCTCGCGATGATATACGGCAGCCTAATGAAATGTTGGAGCACATGACTGATAAAGAACAGAGTCATGAAGTAAGGTCTCAAAACAAGTGCACGTAAAACCTAAGATAACATTAGCCTCCCGAGGTAGTATCCCGCGACGTTTCGAGCTGAGGCAAGCTGATGCCCAAAAGTGATTTATATTAGGATTCTAAAAAATCTTTGTTTGCCCTGCGCGTAATCTATGTTTAATTAGCAATATTATTTTATGCATTTCTATGCATTTCTTTTTGCAGTAAAGCGTTGTGTAAGGGATGATTTAGAAACAATTGCGTGTCATCTCCTTATTTCTGCACATTTCGTGTATTTGCCTTCCGATATATCATGTGACCACAGTGTTTTTTGGCATGCCCTGCAACCCACTATTTTACACTGCAAAACAGCTAACAAAAGCACGTTGCCGAAGACAAAACAGCTGGCGTATTTTCGAGTATCGTCCTTCCGTGTCGGTCTCAGGCGGTTATGTGAACTTCATAAAGTCAAATTTATCGATGATAATAAAAATATACTTAATTCCTGTCTGAAGATTTGGCAGCATAAATAGAAGATTCTCACCTCCAAGATATATAAGTAAATGCGCCTTTAAATTATCTGAAAGATGTTCGGCAAATATTTTTCGGCGCTTTTATCCTCTATAGACACGTTATAGGTGATTTTGAAAAGATTTAAATAATGCTTTTTTTTATTATTTTGAGGCTAATTTAAATAACTATATGTGTTCCTCACGCATATATAACTTCTCAAATATATAGAAGTTTATTATCGCGTTTTTTATGTGTTTTTACTATCGCTTTTTTTACTGGAACGAATGGTGGAACTATGACGATTGCACACTTAAACTCTCAGAAAGTGTCCAATTAGGTAGCTTCCGAATTGAGTAGAGCATGAAATACCACTTTGTTCTATTTAACAAAAATCATCAATTAGCGAGGGTGATGCTTATTTGCAAATTAAATTGACCTGCATTTTGTCAAGAGCAAACCTCAACATCCAGGCTATGCCAGTTTATCGAATATAAGAAAATGTTCACATGGGTAAGCACTGTTTTAGGTCAGATTCGATCTCAGTACTAAGGTGCTCATAGGTTAGAGTGAACAATTTCAGCCACCCCTTTTCGTATGATTCGTCGCCCGCATCATGGTGCTGAGAGCAAACAATATGCTAGTTAGAAAAACAAGCATTGCGATTGTCGCTTAGTGTTCCTATAAAATATAGACTGGAAGGACTTGTCCCGTGACTTTCGTGACATTTTGAAAATTATATTCCCTTAAGCTCAGTCGTCTCGTCATCATATATATATATTGTGAAACGTATTCCGTAAAACACATTTCATGATATATATGGCGACGAGGTGCCCATTTCATGATTGTATTCACTGTAATTAATTCCTTAGTTCAAGGGCAAAACCACGATTCAACATCTAATACTACGACACAAAGTAGTACCAATCACGGGTATTTTAGGCAACCTACTTCACTTCCGAAAACATTTCGATTCAAGTACAATATATGTGACTCTGGTAAACGAAGGGATGTTGAGTCGTACAAACACGACGTTTTGTATGTTAATGTAGATTTTCCTTTCTTGTTGTGTAGGAATAAATAACAGAATTTTATAATTTTGGTACGTGAGAATAAAACTGAATTGAACAAATAAAAAAAAAAAGACTATATACTGTAAACGACTATTTTTCGTGGGCTCAATATTTCGCGATTTAGGTCAAAGCTGAAGTTTTGAAATAATTCGCGGGTTGTAATTTTCTCGACGCGGTGGAATCTCAATATAAATTTCAATCTGTTTACATTTTACCGAAATTGTTCGCTGGACCCATTTTTCGCGAATTGTAGGCGATTCGCGAAATTTTCAAAAATAGGTCCTCGCAAAAATCAGATCGTTTACAGCAGTTAGTTTCACGGCCTAAATAGCGCCTATTGACAGAACAACGCGGAAAATATATTCTCAATTTAGCGGTTCAAACCGGTTCGAACCGGTTCGAACCGGTTTGAACCGTTATTTTTTGCGCCCCGGAACTGAACCGGAACTGAACCGTTTACCCGAACCCGAACCGAACCAATAAAAATATTGGTTCGACACTCTGGCCGGCGCATCCGTCGGAGCCATTCATAACGCCGGCGAACCTATTGCCCGAGCGTCGCCTGTGCGGGGCAACGTTTCCGCACTATATGCACTGACGGTGCAGGGAACGGGTCCCCAACTGGAATGTTTAGCGTCCCATTCCGCCCATGCATCCAAAATGGGCCCGAAAGCGCGCAAACGACGCCACAATATAGCCGGAGTTTCACGCTGTCGTTTGTTGCGATCCTGGAGGTTGGTCGTAGAAACGCTGGCAAAAAGCACGACCCAATGTGAGTGTCGCTGTCGTCGTGGCGTCTCAACTATACTGGCTTCCGAAGCTTCCGCAGCGTGGTCACATGCAGCAGAACAAGCGTCCGTCATATTCCCCACCGCTGCTGTGACGCCACCAGGATCGTGGCCGGTGACAGCATGCCCCTTGTATGACGTCATCAGGCGAAAATCTAAATAAATATAAAGCACCTCTGACCACCATGTGCTTTCCAGTGCCGCATAAACTGCTTCTGCAAAAGGGCCTTTTATAATCATATAGACTGTACCTTGGCACGCGTATACCACCGAAGACCTTAGGTGCACAGATGAGTCCGAAAACCAGCCTACTAATTAAGTATTAAAATCTCTCTGGCTCTTCAAAATATGTCAGTTCAAATCCCGACGAGACACCAGAAATAAAACTTGTCGGTAAAAGCTGCAGGGAACCAAAAGAGCACCCTGCTCTTGGACTCACCGGCGGAACAAAATTTATCTCTTTCCCCTTACCGGCCGTATTCCCAGAAATGAACAATCAAATCAGACTCATCTAGCCCACCCACGCAGCGCTTTGACAGCCTGGGCGCCTATCTATTTGATCGGGTGATTTCTCAATCAAACATTATGCGTCCTTCAATGCTTTATGCACCCAGTGTTCTAGGAAAACACCCCCCCCCCCTCCTTTTATGGCTTAAATAAGAGCAAAAATCAACAAAAAACAGCTCTTAGATAGCAGAGCAAATATGGCACGCGCATGCTCCGTCGCTGCTCAAAAACCGTGTCCGCAATTACCATCGAAGAGGACGTCATTACTCAAACCAGAAGGACGGATCACCGCTAAGCTTCGGGTTTCACGAGGAAACAGCGTGACCACGAACCGGGTACAATGGAGAGCGCTCCTTGGCTATTCCAGCTCTGTTGGCCCAACTGTCCGTGGCCACACAATCGTTAAGGAAGTGTTTTATCTTTGTTTCGGACTTCCTGATACGCTTCGGTTCGTCAATAGGCCAGGTGTCGAAACCGCGGCTAAAAGTCGTCTCCTGTGACCACGTGCCGTGTGATTTACCGAGACGAGTATATAAGCGGATGGTATTCGCTGGTGAGGACCCCGTGGAATCCTCCGGTTCAATTGGTAGCCCATCTGGTTAGTTTCCGAGTGTGAAACTTCACAGTCAACAGCTCCAACCGTCATGATGAGGCACATTCTGGTCGTCTTTCTTGTTGGATGCTCCCTTACGGTTCTTGTTGACGGAAATGGTGAGTACGTTATTTCCTTTTTATATTTTGGAGTTGGGACACGTGGTGCTAGATTCCTTTCTGCGGTAGCTTTACCTCTCCTAACCTCAGAAATGGAACGTTAAATTCGAATGTGCAACTTTCCTAACCAATCGTAATGGTGCCAGAGCTGCGATTGTGAGCTTGAAAGGCAGTTTCCTAGATTTTTATAAATTGCAGGAGATGTTCCGCTAGGATACTTAGATAACCTTAGCAAAACGTACTACTCAGAAGAGAAGTTTTCAAGTCAACTAACTTACCTAAACTCACCTTACACCGCTTAACCTAATTTAATGCAACACAGCCTAACCTATCCTAATTTAAACTAACCTCACCTAGCCTAGCCTAACCTAACCCAGCCTAACCTAACCTAACCTAACCTAGCCTAGCCTAACTTAACCCAGCCTATCCTAACCAAATCTTATTTACTTTAACCAACTTAGCAAAACTTTTTTTCAGATAACACTCAAAAAAATAGTGAAAAAAAGAAAACTGCAGTGCGGCTCCCGAAATTAAGAAACGCATTAATTAAAATGGCGAAGAATTTCATAAAATATAATGTTGTATTGGTGAGGCAAGGAGAGCTTGTATAAGAGTGAATCATTCACTGCATACAAATCAAGGAAAGGTATACTCACATAGATACTTCATGTTATATGCCATCTACATTACACAACCACTAGAATGCAAATGATTCAAACTGTTATTGTGGGTACTTGTGCCTGCTGCATTAAAAAACGACGTGTTTAAAAAAAAACGTTTTAATGTTTGAATGGTTCCCTTACAATGATGGGTTAGTGATTGGGGGAAACTTAAAGAGATAATCAAGATAATAAACAAAGTTGACAGAGGTAGGGGAGAGAAGTGAAGACGAAGGCAATGACGGAATGGAAGGCACATGTGCGATTGGAATAAAAACACCCAAAGCCAAAGAAAAGAAAAAAAAATTACAAATAAAATAAAGCACTAAGGATTTACAGGAAGAACCTCAAACGCACCAATTCATAGACGCATTCTGAAGAAATGTCTGTTTTGTGTCAAGTACACTATTGTTCTCGAAAGCTTTTTTAGGGGCCGTGGCGAGTCACGTGCATCTTATTATCGCTCAGCAGCCAATCAGGTTGCGGCATTGACCGATAAGATCATCGAAGAACAAATCGCGAAGTACGTGTGAACATCATAAGCCACGTCCTGCGTTTCTGAAGCTGCCAGGAACCATACATGCTGCCTGGCCCTGAGTGATGCACACTGCATCATAATGCACGTTGAACGCCACTAAATTATTTCTACTTTGATTTGTTGAACTTCTTAAGAGTGTCATCTCTTTATTGCTTCAAGTAACACGAAGTCCTGCTGGCCACTGAGCTCGATGCCGTTTTGCTACTGTAAATACTTGGTCAGTGTGTCGCGATAGCGCGCAGTCTTCTCGCGGATGAACTGATTAAAAGAAGGTAAATGACTGATAACGTTCCGAGCGAAGTGACGAACTATATACGCACTTCCAGGAGCGCCTGAGAGTGTGTGTGCTCTGGCCAGCCGTGCACCCTTTGCGAAATTCAGAGTCATCTTGTGGCGAAATTCAGAGTCATCTTATGGCAGCCTGAGAAGCTTCAAAATTCCCGCACCAACTTACTACACTCCTTACCTAAAAGGCCATGCCGCAGCGCAACCGCTACACTAATGGGATTTTAATGGCAGTGACAGTAAAACAAGGTTCCGTAGGATCAAGCGCCCTGGAGTTTGTAAGCCAAAAGCGACGTGCCTTTCATTGACTTGAAAGTATCGATTCTCCGATTTCTGCCTTAAGCTTTCGAAAATTTTTGTTTTTGCTGTGGGCCCCTGTAGAGTCATCAAACACAAGGTTGGCACGGAACGTTTACAGATCCTGCCGATTGGACCCTCATGACGATGCCGCCGCGATTTGGTCGCCGAAGTCATATCGACGGGCTCCGCGAACTTTCGGCTGCAACTTTGGGTTTGGCGAGTCTAGAGCGCGTGGTGTAGAGAACATGTGTAACGTCGCCATCGGAGCGTCAGGTTTGGCTCTGGACGAGGTGCGGCAGGCTGAATTTTGAAATGGGACTATTGCTTCTGTCGCGTTGTCTTACGTCATCATTGCAATTGTCAGTTTCAATAGAAAGACAAAATTCGATTGTGTGTGTAAAAACCACAATGGAGGATTGCAGCCATCGCTATGTCAGATGAACATCGTAAAAGCCGACAATTTGAATTAACTCTAATTTCCGTCTATGAAATCAGGATTGATCCTTGACATCAGTGGGCGCTTGGCCGGCGGTGATAGACATATACCAAAGAGACGCTTTTAGTTCCGAATGTCCTTAATTCAGCTCGACAGTTTTTGCACTGAAACCGCCCCCCCCCCCCCCCACACACACACGCACACACAAAACGAAAAAAAAAGCGCAGTGATTTTTTTTTTTTGCGTAAAAATAAAGTGGGCATAACCGAACGCTCAATTTCCGTCCAAATGTTGCGCTAGCGGTACAGACCAAATGCCAAAGTTCCAGAACAAACAGAACAAACTTATACAAATCAAAAGTTTTAACGCCATGTATATCTGGGCTTTGTCGGCCACCATTTTATCACAAAAGGTTTAAAAAAAAAATGGCTTTCATCTTCTAAATAAAAAACCGATTCGTTCAAAAAAAAAATTGGCGTTCGGTGCGGACCGTCGTAGCGCGACATTTCACGGAAAATTAGCGTTCGACAATGCGTTACTTTCGCGGTGAAAAATGCACTTCCCATTTCTTTTGGGGAGGTGACACCCTGTACATTATTTTTGAGTGACCTTCTTTTTGTCTCTCCGCGCGCTGTCCAACCAGTGGATGCCATTCTGGAGACCGTGAGAGACCTGGTGAAGCAGATGGTTCCCAGCGGGGAGATGCAGCAGCGATTCCTGGCAAAGGTCGACGAGAGCAGGGAGTGCCTCGAGATGGCCAAGGGAATCAACCCCGACGTCGTGAAGAAGGTATGGCGTCTTTCAACGACGGGATATACATACGCGAGCTATGGGTCCCGCAGGAGCTTTTCGTTATTTCCTACAACGATTGAGCAGGTTCCGAAACAAAGAATAAAACCGCAGACCGACTTCTCAAACATCACACAAAAGACGTGGTCGGCAGGTACCTTGACAGAATTCTCTACGGTCAAGCCTCAAACAATGTTCGAAGCATACGTACTTGCATATGTGCCTTTCGAACACGTCCTCGGACAGTTTTCGTATGACGAATCTGACATGACCGTCATCCAAGATAGGATGGAAGGATGGATGTTAGATGAATGTTAATGGCTATACATTTTGGAACGGGCGGCTGTTTGCGCCACCTAGGCTATACCTAAAATGAAAACATATGATTCGTCCCGCCCTTCAAAGCAATATTATTCTTCCCTTAAGTGACATGCTTCAAACAGTATCTGCAGACTGTCTTTTGTATGATGCATCTGCAGAGTGAGTGACTGCGGTTTAAGAGAAGCATGTGCTAGAATTGTGAACTGTGCGCACATATTTCAGCTCATGGACGGAATAATTCCCACCGCGGCCAGCTGCGCAGCCAAGACTGTGGGCGTCGCCGATTTCGCTGAAAGAAAAGCTATCGTAAGTGCCTTTAGTTTTATAAATACATTATTTTTATGATGACATTATAATTGACAAAGGGAACTGGTGATGCTTACTTCAATTCTTAAGTAGGGTACAAATGTTAATGCCATGTGTAAAAGAAAACCAATCGTTAGCGTGAGTAATGAGGCTGATATAGACATATCGATATAAACACAGAATAGATTTGTATGGATGTATGTAGTGAAAACAAAAAGTAAAAAGTGAACAGTACGGCTGTTTGGACAGCTCTATTTGCCTACCGTGTTTCAACAAATTTCCTCTCCTACCCAAGATTTAGCTATTAATGCCAATATTTTGACGCGTCTGCGTTTAAAATAATATATTATAGTACTAGCTTCAGAGTTGCAAATAATAGGGAAAAAGACTTGAGGCGTACCAAAATGTCTTTTTTTTTATTAAAAAATATAGACACTGTATAAAAATAAAGACATATTATATGTTTTGTTTCCTTTAATAAACTTCAAGAGACCCTGACACATGTCAAAATCCACGAGGGTACTAAAAAGAGAACCGAAGAAATTAGGTCCAACGTGTTAATCGTATATATATTGCTTTTTTGTTTACCGCGGAGGATTGATTTGATTTATTTCATCGCGAATGAAGCACATTTTTTTCCTTACGTATGGTGCTTTCATTCTTTGACAGCTAAAGTGTCTTTCTTTAATATGGTCTGTTTTCCCCAACTATAGCTTTATTCAGCTGTAGATGATGTGTTTCTAAACTGTTCTAAAATTGGAGCGCTTTTTTTTTTTCTTTCTGTGGCAAAGCTGTGTTTCTTTTTTTGTTATGGCTTCTTTAAGTTTCCTAACAAAGAAGCATTTTAGTTACTTGCCTAGCCCCGCACACAAGCAGAGTGCTGCTTTTGTGGGTCAGATATATATCTCTGTATTAGTGCGATCAGAAAGAAATGTTCAGGTATATACACGTATATGTAAGTAAACTTCTGCCACTTTCTTGCGTTTTATCCGTTTATTCTTCGCTGCCGTGAGTTCAGAATACGATAAGCGAAAGTCTTTCAATATGCCCATCGTTCGTTTGCTTTAAGTAAAGTTTTCTAGTGACGTCTTATTTCTGTGAAAAATGGCTACAATAGACCCCTTTCAAAACTTCACCAGGCAACACTGGCAGACGCCATTACTTGAGCAAGAACCGTTTGATTGAATCTGAGTTCTCGTCAAACGCTGACTCAGCCCTTGTGTTCAACAGATGTTTACAATACGTGTACAATGTTCAAACAATGGCGAAGGAATAATTAACGTAGCAGCAACCATACACCTATTCACGTAAAGAACCGTAATAAAAAGTCCGGCTTCTCGTGGAGCATTACTGATTTATTCATTTATAAGGTGAACGAAGATAGGCGTAAGTTACCTTAAAATTAGCCTACCGTTATTTTATATAAGTGTGCACGTTTTTTAACGCCAACATCCTCTGACAATCGAATCTTGTAAGAACTACTTCGTGCAGCGCACGAATAACGTATAAACCGCATGTATGAGATTTGGCGAGCGACGAGACAAGTGACGGCGACCGGCTTCGTAATTGCTCGGTCAGTAGCGCGACGAGGCAAGCCGCATGAAAGCGACGGGTGCAAGCGACGGAAGCAAGCGACCGAGGCAATGAGCGACGTTGTCTAGAAATCAAAAAAAAAAAAACGAGCGACGCGACGAGCGACAGTGAGAAATCTTCGTCGCTGGTCACTAACTCTTGTCGCTGTCGCCGTCGCTCGTCTCGTCGCTCGCTACATCGCTTACATGCGCTTCAGCCTCAATGCTACGAGTTCCCTTCTTCTTGATGTGGCAAGTAGAGAAGACGCACGATCTTTACAAGGGTCTCTTTGCGAACAGATGCAGCGAGATTCAAAACACCTAGAGCGGGTGGTTCCGAGGACACGTGCAATACAAGAACTAAATATCTGTCGTCATGTTAGGTTACATTACGATTTAAACCTGAGGTCTCCTTTTAGAGACTCGCGAGTGAATAAACTAACTTGACTAAATATCGTTGCAATGCCGGCTCCGTTTTTAAGGCTGTCAATGTCTCCACATCCTTCATTTGTTTTCTCTCTCTTTCTCGCTCTCTCGTTGCAGATGAAAACATGCGTCCAGGAAAAAGCCGACTCATTCAAGGTAACATCAACTATAGCTCTTACCACTGTTTTGTTTAAGAAATGTGGCTTCGAGGCCCGTATGAAAGCATTATGAAGTAAACTTGCTCGAGGAATTTATATATGACAGGCACAAATATGAGCACAGGTAAGCATATCAGCATCTCTAAACGCAGCTGGTCGGGGGTGTCATGCACCAACCGGTAGTCTAATGGTGTTGGCATGTAGACATTTCGGTGACGCCCTCTTAAGGTTCTTACACTTGACGTCACGACTAGTATCAGTTGGTGCGTGTAAAACGCACGGTGAAAGCTTGGAGTTGATCGTTAGTAAACCCAGACCGTGAGAAGTTGACAGTCTCACATGTGTTTCATTTCCATTCATGAACGTATAATTGATTATACTAAAAGCGACGTGGCGAATTTTTAGCTACTCGTGGAACGCCGACCTCGGCGACGCCCTTTGTGACGCCCGTCGCCAATTGCAAATGACAAAGTAAAACTTGCATTGAAGGTCTTGCGGTTGTCCCGAATCCACCGCGAGGCTTACAACCTTTATTAATTAGCTTCAGCGTCTCAAAAAGTTTAAGCGTTCATGTACAGCCAAATCATGGCGCCCGGACCAGCCCGTCCTGGAGGCTGGGCTTTTGATAGACACGCCCTGCTATTTGTGTCCTCTAAGTGCAAATACCTGTATGTGCGTAAGACGGGAACAAAACAATTGGCTGGCCGTGTAAATAAAGGTAAGCTCGGCCTAATATTTTTTTTTTCCAATCGCAGAAGTCAAGTGGTTTGACTGACGAGGAGCTCGCCAAGTTTGATATGGCTAAGGTAAATTACGTTTCTTTCTCGCTTGAATGCTGCAATAGTGGATTTAAGTACGAGTCGTACTTGTACAGAATGTATTTAAACTAATCCTATATCACTTCTAATCTATTACGCAGGATGCGTAATATTGTATGTAATACTTTAAAGTCTGCGCAAGTAAGACTGCGGGTAATTTTATTGTTATATGGTTTAGCAAAACAACGTATGGTACTTACATGGTTGAAGGGAAAGTTTGAACTTACAGAAGTGAACCTAGAAAGGACGGAACAGAACAAAATCGCTGATGAACAACTTTACTTTAGTCTTAGCTGACGCTTCACCAATATGTACCCACTAGCACAACTAAAGCCTGCAACCATGTTCTCAGATTTTTGAAGATCATTCCAAACTCTAAGAAATTAAATTTAGAGTGCCTTCCATCCTCCAAAGAACCTTAGAGAGTCTATCGTTGCTATCTATACAAAGGCGATTGACGAGATAGAAAGTATGTTTAAACCTAAAAAGAAAACAAAAAACAAAAAAACTGCCTGCATTGTGCTTCTGTGCAGCGTGAAACGTCGTGCACAATGTCACAACGTAGACCGTTTTTTTTTATTTCTCGTTTTTTATATTTTTGTAAGGTCTAAACATTTTCCTAATTCTTAGGACAGAAGTAAAACAGCAAACCCGCGGTCATAGGGCTCGTACAACATACATCTCTGTCCTCCTCACGTTTCAGGGTTACCCCCGCCCCCCCCCCCCCCCCCATCGTGTGCATTATACAACAACTCTACTGCACATTAAACTTTAACATCGACATTCACAGATATTTTTTTTGTAGAATGTTGTCTCACCTAAGTGCTTTGCGTAAATGCAGACGCTCCATTTATCTAAGAGTGAAGTAGATGGTTGCTTCTATTATGACTAAATGAATAAATCCGCACTAAACAAACTCCTTTTTCGTTCTTATATACAGGGTAAAACAAGGAGACGCCAGGCTCTTTAAATCGACCCGAAAATTCAATTTCTTAACCTATCGCGCTACGACTTTGTGCAGCGTTGCCCACAGGTGGTGCATCTTTTTGTAAAATTTCCGACTTGCTTGAGGAAAAAGTAAAGAAAGAAAAGGGCTTAGCTCCTATGGAAACGCAGCGAAGCCACCGGTCTTCGAACAACACTGCGCCGTTTCGCACGGGACACAAGAGATGGCGCAAGCGGTCGCGCCGCCAACTGCCGCCAACGAACGAGCAGACGACGCCGAGAGCCGGCGTAATTAGCAGACAAGGAAAGGCAGTTCCTTGTTGTTAACGCGCCTGTTTCTGTTTCTGCGGCTGTCGCCGCCTGCGGAACGCGCGCCGCTTTTGAGTTGAAAAGATTGTCTGCTAAAGACGCTGGCTCTCGGCGCCGTATGCTCGTTCGTTGGCGGCGTTCGCTGCGCCATCTCTTGTCTCCCGTGCGAAACGGCGCCGTGTTGTTTGAAGACCGGTGGCGTCGCTGCATTTCCATAGGAGCTAAGCCTTTTTCTTTCTTTACTTTTTCCTCAGGTAAGTTTCCTCTTTGCAAATTTTACAAAAAAAAAAAAAAAAAAAGCACCATCTGTGGGCAACGCTGCACAAAGTCGTAGCGCGATAGGTTAAGAAATCGAATTTTCCGGTCGACTTAAAGAGCCTGCCGTCTCCTTGTTTCACCCTGTATAATAAATAAGAAACGTTAAAGTGTGCTGGTTTGCTTTTAGATCAGGTGATGCATAAAAATTTCATGGACAAATGTCAATACTCTTGGGATATTTTTTTTGTTTTTAGTTACGGTAATTGGGGAAGCTCAAATGAGTAATAATTTAATTACCCTGCGGTGTGAGATTAATGACTTACAATAAAATACATTTGAACCGTGAGAATATTAGGTATTCCTTTCAAGCAACGTGAACACAGGGCCGGCCTGCTCAAACGGCGTCTCAGCTGAGACTGGGTTACAGAAAACACTGCAAAGGTTGGGAGCGCGCGAGCTTCTTGAGACGCGGTTTGAGTCCCGCTGGCTCGTGCGCTGGCTTTGGCAGTGCTTTACTTCACCCAGTCACAGCTGAGACGCTGTGTCTATACTCCGCTCACCGTTAAGCTGCGACTAGAAGCTCTGCCTTCAGCGCGAGCTTTCTGCCATTGCTAGAGCAAGTGTGAACGCGCAGGCACGCACAACCAAAGCACTACGGAAGCCAATGAGCTCGCGATGAAGGGATTTCATTTTTGACCACTGAGACTCAGCAATGCGTCCAGTTGTTAATCACAAGATTTTTGTTATTCAACAATAGAATACACCGATCTCACCTAGCGTTCGGAGCGTGCGTAAAGCCGCCATAACTTTAGTTCACGGCAGGCAGGTGGCAGTGCTGGAGAAGTCTTATGCTCGCCACTCGCAGAGCTCCACCGAGGTTGTGGCACGTGCAAAAAGACTGAAGTTCCCTCGGCGCATTGCGGCAGCGGTGGCGTACACAAACAGGCTGGTGAAATCGGTCTATTGCAGAAGGAGAAGATAAAAAACAAAACTCTATTATTTGTGCGTTAGCAGGAAAGAGTTTCAGCCATCAAAATCACGTTTTCTTTTCGTTTATTTTCGAACATTTATACGTCAGGATGGGCTGAAAATCATTGAATGCTCACCATTTCGTATTCAGCATTTTTTTATATAAATTAAGTACAAAAAATGGCAATCGCATTGCTGTTTTGTTTTTCAAATTGCTTGATTCTCATTAATTTTACCCTTCCTTTTTTTACAGAAATGTCTAGAGGATAAGATTCAAGTTTGAACATCGTCGGCTTGGTTCCTGCCAAATTCTTCAGCAACTTCTAGATGTAGGCTTCAGCGAAAATAACAAAAACAAAAAATAAACGAGCATTCCAATCAACCTGACGACCTCTGATGTTTGAGTTTATATTTCCCGCGGAAGCTAACAAAAAACAACAACGCGTTTTCTTTTTGTAAAGGTTTGGCGCCAAAAACTTATTGAGTTACACGCCAAAAACTATTGACGTTGAAAACCGTTCGCACGTCTTAGTTTAACCACACTGCTCATGCATCACCCTAAAGACACGTTGTTAGCTGCAGACATGAAAGATGGTTATTCACTGGAGGCCATATTTGGGAGTGATGTTTAAAACGCATGCTCAAAACGAGATCACATTACTAGGCTGCTAAGACCAGCAATCTTTAAGGTACGGGATGCGCGTCGCTAAAAAAACTCTGGAAGCTCGCCGTCAGAACCCGCTTAGCTGACGCGCACAGAGCTATGTACGCTAAAGCCCCTTGATAAAAGCTTTTTTTACAAGTACCGCCAACCATTGTTGTGGAAGCGCGCGAGACACGTGCCATGAGCGGGTGCTCCGCCGCCATCCGCTTCCAAGGCCCGCTCCGCTCATTTCAGTGCTGCGCCGCCGTTTGCTTCCAAGGGCCGCTCGAGACATGGGCCTCGTGCACTCGCGCATTTGACGCTACTTGCAAGACAAGCGCAAACACATCGAGGGGCTTTAATGTACGCCAAGAAATGATGGCGGCCATCCCTATGTGCGCGACTGCTGAGCGCGTGCTAATGGCGAGCTTCCACAGTTATTCTGCAACGTTCATTCCACTCCATCGAGATTGCCGGTCTTAGCAGCCTATTAATGCAAACGCGTTCTGAGCATGCGCTTTAAACATCGCCCTCAAACATGGCGGCCAGTGAATACCCCTTATTGGCGACGAGACCGATCCAAAGGGTCGCAGTGGTCGGCTTTTCACGATTGGCCGGATGCTGACTACGACGCCAGCAAAGAACCTCTCATCGACGGAAATAAGAATGATGTAAGAACTTCAATTTTGACGGTGTTCAAAATGTTGATTTCAGAGTGCAACTATCTCAAGCTTCCACCATGCTAATTACAAAAACCATGTAACTTGTTGTTCGCAAGGTAATGACATCACGAAAGGTAACCATAGGAGGGAGGAGGGCGGCACCAAAACATCTAGCCGCCAATAGCACAATTATCTCCGGGCACGACTGAAGCATTAGAAGCATGTTTGATTCATGCATATGTATGTTTCATGCATGTTTTCTGACAGCTTTTATATGACCAACGTGCTGGGGACGTCGTACAAGGAAGGAACACCCGTAAAGACGGGGATCGCATTGCTCAAGTGCCATTTACTGCGATTTCATCATGATGACGATATCCGAATGAAGCTAAAATTAGACACGAGCACTACCTGGACATTCGACTTGAGCTTGTGACAGCCACTGTCAGGACGAGCATTCGTCCAACGGTTCGTATCAAATTGCTGCGGTGACGGGCACAGCCGCACCCTAAGTATAATAAGAGAGGTTTAGAATAGGAGACCCCGATGCATTGGTGCCCCAGGCTGTTGGGGTGTCGCACGTCGCACGCGAGGAACGATTTTAAGATACAATCCCTCATTTTAAAACTCCGCAATGTCTGTAGCCCGGAACGTGCCCTGAGCTTAAAGGGGCTCTGCAGTCCTATTTCAACGTCTACCTTTTTTTTTTCTGGTTTCCACGTCTTTTGCGGTTCGGGCAACCCAGCGGGACGGAGAGAGTCACTAAATATCAGAGCGTCATATTTTAACCGTATGATGCGGAAATCTCCTCCTCCTACGGGGCGTCACGTGGTGTCGAACGCGCGTAGCATGTGACAAAATCATGACGTTGTTGGTCCTGATGTCAGCTGAGGATTGAGAGCTGCCCCGTTCCCGGTCAGCCCTCTCTCCTCGGCCACACCTCTTTTTCCTGACCTTTTCCTCCCCACATTCCTCAGTCACCGCGGCAAAGGGAATCCTTCGGCGCTGGACAAGGGGGTACAGAGGACCAAGGACTTCATAAAGGAGGTTATTTTTTGCCAGATTTTGTAATATTAATATGCCTATAACTTTTAAAATAAAGCAAATTTCGAAAAAAGAAAACGTTCACTAAGTTACTAGGTTCAGTGCGCTCAAGTTCGGTGCAAATGAGAAAAAAAGAAAGAAAACAACGTTAGAAAGTTGTTGCAGAGCCCCTTTAAGCAACCATAGCGCGTGGATATATGATGAACACTGGCGTAATTCAATCGCCACCACACACGTCACCTCTTGCTTTCTCTGAGTGTGAAGGAGTTCAACGCTGTTCGTGTTTCTCGCATTGTTTTTTTCTGAGTCTACAATTACATGGACAGATAACAACTAATGCGTGGTTTGTACACTAAAAAAAAAGAATGGAGGAAAAAGGGAGCAATGGTGCATTTTCTTCCCTTCTACTGACGCGACCCAAGCGGACACGAGAAGAAGGGAGGAACGAGACTTTTTTCTCCTTCTTCAAGCAGACGGGAGAACGCTGTCGCCCTCCCGACTCATCTTCTGTGGGTTTCGTATTTCGAGCATGTCGCGCACGTCGTTTAATGAATGTTATTGAATTCATTGAGCTTCAGCGGCAGCGAATGCCGCCTGTAATTCCGTCTCCCAGTCCAAACGTGCGGAACATTTCGGCCGCACTGACGTTTGTGGGAAGCCTTGGAGGAAGACGGCGCGCGAGGGGGCACATGCTGTGGCCGGCAGACCGGCACTTGTAAGGAGGCCACGAACAGTCCCAGAGAAGGCGCGAGAAAGAACGGCAGCAGCGCAGCGACACCCGGATGTTTGGGCGACCCCGAGATCAACGTATAACGGGCAACACAGCGCCACCCGGACGACTGGGCGACCACGAGACCCGGGCTAGGGCACGGCCGAGGAAAAGAGCCCCGAACAGTAAAACGTTTGTGTACATCTCCTTGAACGTGTGCCTTCTTGGGAGGGCGGACCAGGCAGGGACCGATCGGGCAGCAGTTTTATAGAGCGACCCGCACGTTTTTACAAATAGTTTTATCAAACGAGAAAACGAAGCCGCTAGAAACAGCGAAGACCCGGAGCAGTGCTAGCAGCGCTACGTACACTGGGTAAGATGGCCGTCTCCGGATAGCGGGGATTGCGGGCAAGGAGGTTGCGGGTAAGGGAGTCGAGGCACTAGCAGGGGGCACGTTGCAATATCGGTGAAGCCTAGTCATAAAAAGTTTAAACGATGTTGTGGCCAACGTCACCCTAGATCTCTCTGGCGAATGGTGCGCGTGACATGTCACGTGTGAGATGGATGGTTGATTGTAGAAAGGTTCCTTGCAGACCTGCGCGCGCTCCGTCCGGTAAGTTTGATCAGATCGAAGGCTAGAGGAAGGCTAAGTACGGTCACGTGTTGTGGTCATGGTGGCCTGATAAGTGAGGAGGGTGAGGAGGAACATGAGAAAGAGGCGAGGTGTCAAGGGAGCATGGCTTGTGGGGGCTACGCGGCTGACGTCATGCCCTCTCCTACCCTTCTATCCTCCTTGATTGCGGGACCCACGCGGAACCACGCGGAACTGTGTCGATGTTTTCGACGTTATGAAAATTGCAAAAAGTGCGTCCAAGACAGGCAGGTATTGCTGCCGGGTGCCTGGGTGCCTTCTATGCTGAGTTCGGTTCTGTTTTTTGATGCCGAGCGCCAACCTGCAGTCAACGCGGTTTTTGTATTTCTGAGTGTTAGCAACAAAGCAGCAACGTCGTGATGGTAGTGTTGCGCGTTGTCAACAGAGGACTGGAATTATCGCCGATGTGACCGTGTGTTCGCGTATCAGTGCTGTAACAACAATATATGACGTAAACTCGCGGGCACTGACACCGCTGGTCGAGCCGTGATTGGAGGGGGCGGGGTGTCGCAGGTTGACATTCCGCTTTACATTGAAGAGTTTAAGACCCCTTGAGGGCATTAGGTGCAATCGATCGACATGCGGATAGTTATGTTGGGACGCTGGTCCGAACCGTAAGCTCCTTTAGTACAGTGGCCAATGTGACTGTCGGTTGTCTCCTCCCCGAGAGTGGTTGCGCTCTGGCGAATGGAGTGAACAGTACGAAAGCCTGACGGAAAACAAGTATATTTACAGTTTGGAATTTAGCATTAAGGAAAAATAAAGGAAAAATAAAAAAAAAGCTATCCTTTATTTTCTTGTTTAAATATGCTACGGTTCCTGCGAACCTGCCCTTCAAGTGACGCGTTGGGATGAGCGCTAGAATTTTTCGAGCTCGGCACGGCGTAGTTCCGTACACTTTACACCTGCCGTAAGTCGTGGCTTTGACTGCCATCAAGTTGATAAAAAAGCGATTTTTCTGCCGGTAAAGCATCACTTCAAGCCGAGTGAATATCCGCTCTATAGAGATTAATTCAAGACGACAATTGCAGCCGTGCGCGAATAGCATAAATAAAAAAACCAGCACTACAATAGACATAGTGGTAACTACGCGCCGTGAAAGGAAGCAAACACATTGCTTGGAACTGCATTGGAGCGGCTGTGATCTATTGTCTTTCGAATAATTACGGCATGATCGAGCGTTTACTTTTTACTAAGACATTCACCCCCTGAGTCATTCAAAATACTCTCAGAGGTATGAGATTGCTGGAAAAAATAAACACGCTCAGAATATTTTTTATTGCTTAGGCAGTCACCGAGAAATTTCGTACATTCAAATTGACTAGTATAAAATATGGAAACGCAGAGGTCGAGAGTAGTGACCGGATTAGTGTGCTGTTGAATTGATGTTTGTGACATGTATGTGTATGCGCTCAATATATGTTCACCTGATCATTTTTGTATGCGTAATGTGTCTATAATAAAGGTTCCCGACGGTCCCGAAGCGCAATGGTGGTGTGAGGAACTGAAAACATTTTTTGTAGAGCATGAATTGGGCGGTACCTAGCGCCACCTAGCCTAGCTACTTGCGATT